GACGATTATTTGAACCGATCCTGGGCCTCCCCTAGGTCGACTCAGCCTCACATGAGTGTTTGGATGCGGTGGATAAACATCGCCACTAGGGAGACAAAGGTAGCCGGGCGTGGTGCTCACTAACAGCACTTGCTCCTACAGTCTGTTTATGGCTATATGGGGGATCTTTGTGGTGTTATGCGTGAGCGTGTGTGAGCGTGTGTCAGTGTGGGCGCGTGTGTGACCGTGCATGTGAGTGTGTGCGCCCGTGTGTGAGCACGTGTGAGCGTGTGTGTGTGAGCGTGCGTGTGTGTGCGAGCGTGCGTGTGTTAGCGTGCGTGTGTGAGCGTGTGTGTGTGAGCGTGTGTGTGAGTGTGTGCGTGCGTTGCCCACCTGCTTGTGCGGGACCTTCGCTCGCCGTGCGATGCGAGCGTGTGGGATTAGCCGTAGTGTCGCCTGGGTTAAGGGTGGGGGTTAGGGTGGGGGTTAGGGGTTAGAGCACGCGATGGACTAAGCTCAGCCAAGCAAACTCCATGCTGTTAATCGCCGCTTTCACAACAATACCAATTGTTAGATTAACAATATTCACTTACACAGGAATCATATTCGTGAACATTATAACGATGACGATGATGTTAATACGGGGTCATGCATCGACTCTCAGAACTCCTATTCAGGAGGGTCCTGCGACATTGGCGAGTTGACCAATTCCATATTACATTAGACTCGTCTGGTGACTGCTGCTGCTGCTGCTGCCACTACTGCTGCTTGTCTGGTGACTGCTGCTGCTACTGCTGCGTTGGCAGTGGTGCACAAGCACAGTGAACTAACTAACTCTTTAACTCTCCTGCGTTCGTCAATAACTCCGCTCCACACACCGCGCCCGCTTCGTATCTCACTGGCAGCAATCGCATCTCCTGGCCACCACCTCGCCGCTCCCCCGAGGGGATTTGAGGGTTTCACAGATCTCCGTGTGACCCACCAACCCCTCACCCCGGATCACGAAACCTGCCGCCGCTGGCAGCGCACCCGGCTCGCCGAGCGACGTTAGCGAGTCGGCGCTTGTGGGGTGGCGCTGTTGGTCGCGGTCGTGGTGGTGATGTGGGGAGCGGTGGCGCAGCGGTTAGCGGACCGTGTTACGAAATCAGCGAACTGAGATTGATTCTCTGGCCAGGACCCACTTCAGTGGCAAGTCAAATTTATTTACTTTTTTGTTTGTTTAGCACAGGACCAAAGGCCCAAAACGTCGATTGGTCAGCCACAAACAGCACCCCCATCAAAGTTGTAATGGATAAGTGTAACGCGTTTGTTGAAGTGAACGAGGTTATTGTTTTTTTAATCACTTTGAGGGGGGGGGGGGAGACAATGGTGACGATAGGAGGGAGATCCACAGTCGAGCAGTGCGAGGAAAGAAGCAGCGAGAGAGAAGCAAGTGTGAGTGTGGTGAGTGGGTGGGTGGGTGAGCGTGTGAGTAGGTGAGAGTTGCGTGAGGAGTGTGAGTGTGGTGAGTGGGTGGGTGAGCGTGTGAGTAGGTGAGAGTTGCGTGAGGAGTGTGAGTGTGGTGAGTGGGTGGGTGGGTGAGCGTGTGAATAGGTGAGAGTTGCGCGAGGAGTGTGAGTGTGGTGAGTAGGTGGGTGAGTGAGCGTGTGAGTAGGTGAGGGTTGCGCGAGTGGTGTGAGTGTGGTGAGTGGGTGGGTGGGTGAGCGTGTGAGCGGGTGAGTGGGTGGCTGACGAGAGGTTGACTTGGTGGCTGACAGCACGGGCGACTCACCTGGACCGCAGCAAACGTGGACTTTGAGGCGATAGCAGCGGGAGTCACCCTTGAGCAGTGGAGTGGCTGTGAATGAGACGTGCTGGTTAGCGTGTGTCCACCCTAGCGTGTGTGTCCACCCTAGCGTGTGTGTGTCCACCCTAGGGTGTGTGTGTCCACCCTAGCGTGCGTGTGTCCACCCTAGGGTGTGTGTGTCCACCCTAGAGTGTGTGTGTCCACCCTAGCGTGTGTCCACCCTAGCGTGTGTGTGTCCACCCTAGCGTGTGTGTGTCCACCCTAGGGTGTGTGTGTCCACCCTAGCATGTATGTGTCCACCCTAGCGTGTGTGTGTCCACCCAAGTGTGTGTCCACCCAAGTGTGTGTCCATCCAAGCGTGTGTTCACCCTAATATGTCGACGTGTGTTTCCATATAGCCACAGTCATACCTGGGTACCCACATGTCCCTTGCCTGTGTCCACCCCCGCGTGTGTAGGTGTCTACGAGGGTTCGGCACGTGCTCGTATCGTAAGGCAATCGGACACCACGAGACACGCGCCGCCCTCCCCACACAGCCACCTCTGCTCGTTGTTGTGTTGCTTCGTATTCTCAACAACGTCGCCAGTGGTGATAATTCTGTGTTTTTCTTTGCAGCGTTGAGCGTCGAGCTAGGACCCACATCTCACAGAGAGGGTCCGTGCCAATAAACATCTTGGCAATTCACCGGCGTTAGCACAAGCGAAGCCTGACTCTACTGATGTTGAACCAGTGCTGCTGAGATTAAGCGCTCCCAGAAAGAAAGCTGTGGGTGGCTGACGAGATGTGTAAAACAACATATAATATATATCGATTTTTTTGTATAGCTGGGCAAATGTGTGAATGAGGCCGATTGTCTGCTTGTTAATTTTGTTCACCACATCACAGGCGGGCGAAGGCAGTGGTGGATCTAGGGGTGGGGTTCACTTCCTCCTTGAGACCCCACGTTGGACTGATGCTGTATTTACCAAAGGAAATACATCAATTTTGTTATTTTTTGTATTAACTTTGTCTCCTATTTATAACGCTTGACATTTTGGGGCCACCCCCTTCCCCCCCCCCCCTCCGTTGGGAATGTTCTCGATCTGTCCTGGTGGGGGGGTTGGCCCAGCCCATCATCCCTTCCTCCTGGGGTCCACAACATTGAGCACCGCACCACTTCGTGCAGAACGCCAACTGTGGTCCCCCCCCCTCCCACCTGCCATAGGAATGTGGAGGTGCATTCATCGCCTCTTCATTTTGTTTGCCGTACAGTGTAATAACCAGTATTGGCCCAACGTTTGGGCATGCAACGTTGGCCCAACGGCAACATGTTTACTCGGAATGACCTGGGTTTGATTACTGACGCAGGCCGCTGTGTGAATGTGTGTGTGTTTAATGAGAACGATGAATAATTTATCTTGACGCTTGTTTACCCAAAGGAAATAAATATACAAAAACAACCGCACAATGACGGCAAGCGGAGGGAACTCACAGATGTAGTAGTAGTCCTGCCCGGGCGCGAACTCGAAGCCCAGCGAGAACGGCGTGAACCGCTGGAACTTCTCGGCGAACCTCAGGGGCGCCCCGTGGTCCCGGTGGTGGGGGCCCCGCTGGAGAGGCCTCCCACAGCGCCACCGCACGGACCCCCTCGAGTGCTCGCAGCGCGCAAACCCCGCGGCGTCCACCATGTGCAGCACGGGCCGCTCCGCCGGGGGGGGCGGCGGTGGCGTGGAGCCCCCCGCCAAAGAGCCCCCCGATTCAGGGCCCTCCAGTTCGGGGGCTGTAGAATGCGGGCAGTAGACGTCCATGTAGTCGTCGATGTGCACGGTGAGCGTGTAATCCCCCGTAAGTAACCTGGACGGGAGGGAGGAGGAGATCGCCGACATTACAAACAGAGACTCGAATTACGAGTTTTAAAGGGAGAACCACCAACGTTGCTTTAAAAAACCTGGCAATAAAAAACAATCGGGTACGTTTTACATGGGCACTATCATTCTCATAGCGCGGGCCGATCATCACGCGCAGGAAGGCGTCGCTGCGTTTGACATCCTGCGATCGTTTCGCGTTAGTTCAACAATGTTGCTGTCTGAACTGGCCTAGGGCACCCCCGGTGGCAGCTGTCCCTGTGTGGCACAAGGCAATCGTCGCCAGAGAAGGCGCTGCTGCTGCTGTTGCTGCTGCTGCACAGTCTCCAGGAGTGCCACGGCAGGAGGCGGCGTTGCTCTATCCAGCGAGTAATTTAGCGATGTGTATCATTTTTCCAACTTGGACCGTGCTTCGTTTAGAATGAGGTCGCGGGGTCGACAACGTCTGAATTGAACGTCCACTCTGAGTGAGGCAGACGGCGCATCGTCGTTCACGGTCAATCCCGCACCCGTTAGGGGCGTGCTGCACGATGTCCGACGTTTCGCCGCGTGTGCCGAGAACCCTCGTTCGTAAACTGAAGACGCTATCCAGGCTCAAACCTGCTGAGCTTCAGAAGTCAGGGCCCGACCTCGCCGCCCTCACGGAGAAATTTTCGCGGGTTTGGGTCCACAATGTAACAGAGACCTATCACTCACCGACTGATGCACTCACTCATTCCTTCACTCACCCAGTACAGTAATTCATTAATTAATCCATGTTTATTCATCGACCCACTAATTAATTAATGCATTCGACAAGGCACTCGGTAACTCACCGATTCACATCCACAGTGGGACGGGTGGCAACCCTAACCATGCATCTCTCTTCATCCCAAGTTCCCTGTCCGCTTCGTCTCCCCATTCCTCTTCCCGCACTCCCCATGTGGCTCCTATCCACTCAGTTTCACACTGTGTATGTACGCGTGTTGAACTTCTTTCGCACCGTACGTAGCCAACCGTGCTAATCGGAGGTTCGGAGGAAGGAAAACAAACTAAACACAACAAGCTGTTCTAAATAAATTAGTTTTCAGTTTGGATTATTTTGAAATGCATAGCTCCAGTGGCTTCCTAACATCGGAAGCAAGAGCATTCCAGACGGCCGCAGAAGCGCATCTGAAAGCGCGCGATGCTTTGGCCGTCTTTGTTCGATGGCCAGCAGCCAAAAGCCGCGGGGAAGATGCCCGCCGGAGTTCGCGTGATGGTTCACACTCTCCTGACGAGATCAGCGAGGTGGTGTTGTGGTCCATCTGTGGCCAGCACTTCGTGTGTGTGACGAGTGCGACCTTTCTCACAATGCCTTCGTTCGGCAACCGAAAGCCGATGGAGCTCGGCGAGCGCCGGACGCACGCGGTCGGATCTTGCAGTGTCCGCCACGACACGTGCCGGGGAGCCGTGTGCACGCTGCTCACGCGGGTTTTTGTTTTGCCAGACGTCCCGTAGAGGAGGAGGAGGTGAGTGGCAATCATCGAGCCTTGTCGACATCACTTTCCCGACACGTCTCCCCCCCCCACCCCCCTGATCACCCTCCCCACCCCCCCTGATCACCCTCCCCACCCCCCCTGATCACCGGGAGGGTCGCCGGGGCTCCCACGGGAGGCCGCTGTCCCCGTCCCCGGCGACTCCCGCAAACATCCTGAGAGGCGGCAGCCAAACAGCGCCAAGTGGCGGCGGCGGTGCGTCAACAGCGGCGCACGCGAGCCGCGTCCCCCCTCCCTCTCGCGTGAGGCGGGGGAGGTTAAAAGCGCCATTCTCTGAGAGCCGGGGTGTTGTTTATGACTTGGCCGTGGCTACGGCTCTTAATTATTAATTGCCCGCGGTTATCTCCCTCCCCTCTCCCTCCTTCCCCGAGTGGCGGCGTTGTTGTTTTCGCGCTAAACTCCGCGGCGGCGGCGGCGTCGTCGGCATTGTGCGCGCGCCGCAGGATGTGAACGCTCCGCACGCCGCTTCCTTCGCTTCCGAGTTCCCACAGCGCCCCGCCACCACCAGCACCACCAGCAGCAGCAGCAGCAACAGAAACAGCAGCAGCACCCACCACCAGCACCACCACCACCAGCACCACCAGCACCACCACCAGCAGCAGCACCACCAGCAGCACCAGCACCACCACCAGCAGCAGCACCCACCAGCACCACCAGCACCACCAGCACCACCAGCACCACCACCACCAGTAGCAGCGAGTGTGCGGGACCCTCTCCTCCTGCTGCCCCTCAGCACCCACCACCAGCAGCAGCAGCAGCAGCCATGGCCAACAGCAGTGACCCCCCCACACCCCGCTGGCCACTCGCTCGGTGCACTGTCACGCGTCCGTGTCTCGCAGTGGCTCACAACCCACACGGCTTAGAACCCCGTGTTCTGGTCCAGGGAAACCGAGTTTTCAGGTCCATACGGCGTACAGCCGTTTCAATACGGGCAAAAAAACATTTGTGTTGTCTCTTTGTTTGTGTTTCTCCCTTGTGATGGGACTTTGTAGGATGAACGTTGAGATGTATAAGGGGCACGGGGTGACCAATAAGGTCTGAGTTGGTCTCTAATAAGGTCGGGCACTGATAGGGGTGGACAGGGATGGACTGTCACGCGACAGACCTCGCAGGTGCCGTGGGTTGACCGACTGACTGAGATGCCTGACTGGCCGTGCACCCAGCCGTGGCCCCTGCTGTGCCAAACGACACCAGCGCCACCAGCGCCACAAGCAGCAGCAGCAGCCACCACCTCGGAGAATGGCGTGATGAGGTGATGTCGTGAGCAGGGTGATGGCGCAGTGGTTAGAACTCTCGTGCCTCACCACAGCAAGAAGCCAGCAGACATGCCAACCCTGTGACAACTTGGCTGTCTAACATTTGCCCCAGTTTTTGTAAGGGCCTGGGTTCGACTCCCGACCCGTCCGCCTTGCCGTGCGGAGTGGACGTGTCTCTGCAGGAGAGTGAGAGTGCTCGTTGGAGTCGTCCCTACGTTCTCTCTACGCCAACTCTGTATGGGGTTGCCTCCAGGTTCTCTGATTTCCTCCCTCCCACAGCCAGAATAAAACCCACAACACACAGTGTTAGCCGGTATCGGGCTGGAAAACATCCCACATCTGACATCACCTGCACATTACTCAACAGGGATCACACCGCAGGAGCAGTAACATCGCCCCCTACTGCGGATACTTGACAGCAGGAACCTCTCCTGAGAGAGGGAGAGTCTTGAGACACGGTGAGGCTTTCCTGGGTAAAACTAGCAGAATATATTATTGGTTCTTTCGATAAAGTCACGTAGAAGGAAAATAACAAAATAATAAAAATAAAACATAAAAAAAATCTCACGACGTTTCGGCCACAACGCAAGCAGCCGTCCTCAGGTGAAGAGCAGAGCTGTCGGAAAGTCATGAGGACGCTGTCTTTCCGACTTTACCAAAAGAACCAAGAATATGAATCCCTGCAGTCACGAAAGCTTTAAATCAAAATTTAGCAGAATATAAGCAACAAAAACATCATCAGATTCGACTCCTTCCTACCTTCTTTTTCCACATCCCATCAGCCACAAAGCTTTTCCTCGAGTGCATTTGTTCGGCAGCCTTAGTTCAACACGAGCAAAACTCTGCGACATTCATCGCCTCATCAGCAAGGCCAGACTTGCTGGTGAACTGCCAAATGTTCATAGACAAGGACCCCCTCCCCCTCTTAGGCTTCGATGCTAGGTGCCGTAACACCGACCAGAATCAGAATCTTTATTTTTCCTGGAGAAATCCGATGAGCTATGAAGCTCTTTTTCACATGGGATCCCGTAGTGACTGAAGCCGTGTTGGCTGATGGGATGTGTGACGAAGACACGTGTGTATTTAATGTGGAGGGGCAGATGTGGGAAGGAGGCACGTGTGCGTATTTATGTCGTTGAATGATGACCAGGGTGCTGACCATGGTGTACAATTGTTGTTGTGGCACGTGTCGATTCATGTCGCGAAGGGTCTGCCCGCATTGCCAAAATGGCCATTTCCATTTTTACAGTGTCTATAGTTATAGAGTGTATTTAAAATCACAGTCCAAGACTTAGTGTGGCGAGTGGGTGAGTGAGAGTGAGTGAGCGAGTGGGTGAGTGTGCTGTTACCTGTAGTTTGGTGAGTGGGTGAGTGAGAGGGTGAGTGTGTTGTTGTCACCTGTAGTGTGGTGAGTGGGTGAGTGAGCGGGTGGGTGAGCGAGTGTGTTTTTGTCACCTGTAGTGTAGTGAGTGGGTGAGTGAGAGGGTGGGTGAGCGAGTGAGTGAGTGTGTTGTTGTCACCTATAGTGTGGTGAGTGGGTGAGTGAGTGAGTGTGTTGTTGTTGTGAGCTGCAGCGTGGTAGTTGAACACAGTGTGGTGAACGAGACAAAGGAGTCAGCCTCCTAGACCGATGCCTCCGTTTATCCAGGATGGCCTCACTCTGAGTCTCAAGACTCCTTTTCCGGAGGCTCCTGCTACAATGGGATGTTTGGCCAAATCCCCTTTTAACTCGGGAGTTGTTTTGTTTCCTGATTGAGGGGGGGGGGGGAAGCAGGAAATCGAAGCAGCCAGAGAGAAAAAAAATCTCATCTCTCGTGCGAGCCGGCCACGTTCTCACAGGCGGATTCACCAGCCGACTTGCTGTGTTACCACATCCGCACCGCCACTTCCCCAGCTCAGCGGATTTTGGGAGAGTTTCTCAAATCTCTCGCGTGGTCCGCAAACCCTTGCCTCTGCAAAGCCACAGCCGGTGGGTGCCCTGCGAGCTGCATCATGGAAGTTCGCCCCCCACCCCCCAACGACGTCGCGAATAAGAGACGTTGTACTGCACTGTGATGGAATCTATGCCACCGAACGGGCCGTCTGTGTGCTGCTGTACTGCGTCCACAACGAAGGAGGTTATAACTGACAAAGTAAATAAGTATGCATTTCGTCTCCTGCCGTACATTATTTGTCTCTGAACACACAACATATATATAAATAAATAAAAATTTTTACATGTCACATAAGCCTCACGCGCCTTCTTCGTGATTATCTTGTGTTTTGTATTACAGGACTCCTCTATTTACGAACATTCGACTTACGAACTTTTAGAGATACGAACAACCTGTCCACATGTTGAGTTGCCTGTCCGGACTGAGAGTCGTAAGTTCAACCACCGCGCAATCAATGGCGGTGGTGGCATCCGCATCTACAGGAGATTATATAACTTTTAAAGCCACTCCCCGTGTTAAGTGTACATGCCGTGCAACATGTTTGGAGTCGACAGGAGTAAAGTTGGACTTATGAACAAATCGACTTACGAACAGACCTGGAACCTAACTCGTTCGTAAGTAGAGGAGTCCCTGTTTCCAGTTTTGTGTCGAGCTACAGAGAAGGCCCTGGCCAATTCACATCTGGCGGTGCACCACAGTGGTTGTTGGTGCCAAGCAAGCCTCGCGTTGCTGCTGACGAGACGCTGCCTGTGTTGAACCGATGCTGTTGCAATGATGGCACTCTCAGAAGAACGGCTGTGTGGCTGATGGAATGTGTAAAAAATATGCGGATTGTATTTTTTATGGGGGGAGTCGGAAATTAGGAGGCAGACTGCTTATTTATTTATTAACTTGAATGACGATTGTCTATCTGTGTGATCAGCGTCTGAGTCACTGCGTTCAAGGGAGGAGGAAGGTTCCAGGATTTTGTCCAACACCTGTCGTGGGTGTCTCTTACTCACCCCTCGCCACCACGAGGAATCCCGACTTACACGTCACCCCGGGATTACCTCACCGACTCACCTGTTACCTCACCTACCCTCTCACAAACACATTACCTCATCTACTCACCTACCTGTTGACTCACCTACCTGTCACCTCACCTACTCACCTGGTAGCTCACCTACTCACCTGGTATCTCACCTACTCACTCACCTATTAACTCGCCCACCTGTTAACGCACCTACTCACTGACCAGTTACCTCGCCTACTCACCTGTTAACTCACCTAATCACTCACCACCCGTTAACTCACCTACTCACTCACCTTTTACCTCACTTATTCACTCACCCACCTGCTAACCCACATAATAGCTCACCTGCCACCTGTTTCCTCACCTCGCGTTTAACTCTTCCCATGTCACTCTCCCTCCCTCACCTCCCTGTGCCCCCTCCATCATAACAATAATAATATAACTTACATTTGTAACGCGCGTGTCATCCGTAGGTCCCAGTGTGCCACCGTGTATGGAAAGCAGGGAGTAGACTAAGCCTGCAGGGTACACGGCCAGGGCTATGGGCTAAAGGCCACTTTAGAAAGGTGAGTTTTCAAGACAGAGCTAAACATCTAGAACGACGCCGTCTGACTCGCAAAGGAAACGCGTCTCGGAGTCTGGGAGCTGCACGGTGCCAAGCACGATTCACCGCATCGCGCACTTTCAGATGCGCTTCTGCGGCCGTCTGGAAAGCTCTTCCGATATCAGGAAGCCACTGGAGCCATGCACTTTTAAGTCTACATTGAAAACGTATTTCTTTAGAACTGCTTTTTTGTGTTGAGTTTGTTGTCCTTCCCCCGCACCTCCGATTATAGCGGTTGGCTACGTACGTTGCGAAAGAACTTCAACATACACACATTCCCCCAGCAACAAACGCCTTGCGCTCGGAGTCCTGAGCAGGAGGCGATCCGAATATCTCAAGGATCTCGTTGGGGAGTCAACACGGAACGAGTTCCCCGTGCCCCCCCCCCACCTCACCCCCCGCCGCCCTCCTCACCTGTGGTTGCTGCTGTTCCAGTAGACGGCGAAGCGTGCGCTGGAGCAGCGCCCGACCCCGCAGAGAAGCAGCAGCAGCAGCGGCAGCAGCAATGGCAGCGGCGGCGGTAGCGGCAGCAGCGGCATGACCGGGCCGCGACTTCCCCCCTCCTCCTTCTCCTCCGCTCCCCTCTCCGCCTCTTCTCCCTGTGCCCGGCTGCTCGCCCGCTCGGCCCCGAGCTGATCCCGCTCGGCCGCGAGCTGATCCCGCTCGGCCGCGTCAGTGTCAAGATCCGATTCCGGTGCTGATCACGAGATCATCCCGGGACTTGAGTCTCCACGTGACGCCGCCGCTTGTGGTGCTGACGCCGGTCCCGTTCGCTGAGTGAGCCGGGCGATGGCCACGAGACGAGTCTGGCCTGGTCAAGACCTTGATCCCGGGGCTGCTCCCGTGTGGCCGCTCTCTACCGTGAACCGAGTTGACCTCTAGCCCATCCGAGGCTGGTCGTGATGGACGTCAGCTGTGCACGGCACCACCTCCACCCTCCCTGGCTCCTGTTGGGGCGTGAAGGGCAGGCACCGGGAGATTGAAACAGTTGCTGAGCCGCACGACGACAAGGGGCCAGAGACAAGCAGCACGGTCAAAGTTGTGACACACACGAGTGTGTAACACGCGTATTTACTCGAGCAGGGTCAGAGCTTGGGGGGAGGAAGGAGACGATGGGAGGGAATGTGCCGTGGAGTGTGGTGAGTATGTGGGTGAGTGAGAGGGTGAGTGCGTGTGTTGTTGAGTGAGTTGTCACCTGCATTGTAGTGAGTGAGTTGTTGAGTGTTGGCGAGTGTGTTGTTGTGACATGTAGTGTGTTGGTGATTGGTGAGTGTGTTGTTGTGACATGTAGTGTGTTGGTGAGTGTGTTGTTGTGACATGTAGTGTGTTGACGAGTGTGTTGTTGTGACATGTAGTGTGTTGGTGAGTGTGTTGTTGTGACATGTAGTGTGTTGGTGAGTGTGTTGTTGTGACATGTAGTGTGTTGGTGAGTGTGTTGTTGTGACATGTAGTGTGTTGACGAGTGTGTTGTTGTGACCTGTAGTGTGTTGGTGAGTGAGTTGTTGTGATCTGTAGTGTGTTGGTGAGTGAGTTGTTGTGATCTGTAGTGTGTTGGTGAGTGTGTTGTTGTGATCTGTAGTGTGTTGGTGAGTGCACTGTGTGTGGTGTGTAGTGTGTTGGTGAGTGTGTTGTTGTGACCTGTAGTGTGTTGGTGAGTGCACTGTGTGTGGTGGTGAGTTCGTGAGTGAGTTGTAGAGATACCTGGCAGTGTGCTGGCTGGGTACAGCCGTGGGTGCACGAGACGACACGGACGGTGCCTGGCTGGCTGCAGCAGGCAGCAGACAGGAGGCGCGGTGAGGTGAGGCGTGGTGTGAGCTAAGCTCTTCTGACCCCGCACAGAGCTCGACTGGGAGTATGATGATGATGAAGCTGGGAGGAGGAGGAGGAGCCACACCAATGGGTGGGTGGCTGGGAGGAGGGGGCAGACCGCAAGGAGACACGGACAAGTCAATATTTACACGCGGCAGGCGTGCGGCTGCGGGCGAGGGCGTGCTAGCGATGAGTGTGTGTTGTTGTTGTTGTGTATTAGGTGCGCGTCTATGTTGGGAGAGAGTGTTCATGGTGAGCGCGCTGCGCTACGAACCCGGCCGGCCCGAGTTCGATTCCCGCTCACGGCCACCACCACCGAGTGACGATGATCTGAACCGGTCCTGGGTCTTCCAGGGTCGACTCAGCTTCAAATGAGTACCCGGCGCGGTGTCAAACATCGCCGCTCGGGATACAAAGGCGGGCGGGCGTGGGGCTGGCCCCCACCCCCTCGTGTGTCGTACCGGCCTTCACAGGCGCTGCTCAATAATATCACTCTTGCCCTAACAGTGTGTTACAGGCTATGGGGGTGATCTTTATCTTTGCCATGTCTTTGTGTGCCGTAGGTGTTCCGTAACAGCCAGCACTTGCCCCGTCAGTGTGTGAAGGCTATAGGTTGTGGGGTTTGGATCTTTGTCTTTGCGTCTCTGCGTCGAGGGGCGCCGCGGTGGCGTGGAGATACCATCTCGTCTGAGTGGCGAGCCCACACGAGACGTGATGGTGAGACGGTGTGATGGTGAGGTGGTGTGATGGTGAGATGGTGACGTGGTGACGTGGTGAGGTGGTGTGATGGCGAGGTGGTGTGATGGTGAGGTGGTTGTGCCGCCTGTCTGCGCGGAGTCCGCGTGGATTGTTCGCCGGGTCTCTTTGGGTTTTGCTCGTCTAGAAAAACGCACTCGCGTTTACATGATGTGGCTGCTACAATACATTTTTGCGTGGTGATGCTATCAGCCACTTCGGTGATGAATTGTCATTGTGTGTAGCCAGGTCACCTCTGAAAGCGAGCGCAAAGCTTAGTGCGCTTTACCTGGTGAATGCAATGGCTTAGTTGATGTGTATTTCTGGCCACCCCACCCCCTCGTGTCCCGAGCCGGCCTTCATCGCCAACAGCACTTGTCCCACCAGTCTGTTGAGGCTACACGGGGTATCTCTGTCTTTGTAGGCAGCGCCATTCCCTGTTCACCTTGGGGTGCGACAGAGATGTCTTCTGGCCCCAACACTATTTTACATCTTCTTTAACCACGTAATTCGAGAAGCCTCCCATGGCTGTACCGGAGGAATTTCCATTTGGTACAGATACAAGAGGAGGCTGATTGATGACCGGGTGCGGTCTAGCGATGGCTCCCTATCGGTGAGCCATGTTATCTCTGCTGATGATCTGGTAATTGCTGCTCACTCTGAGGAGTTGGAGACCGCTGCCAAACCTGGAGCATGCGACTACGAATTGGGGACTTGCCAGCAGCCCAATCAATACAAAGCAACTTTGCTGGGTATTTTATGTAATCAAATTCTCCACCTTGTCCACTCTCCCCACGAGTGATGGGGGGCAGGTGTGGAGAGTTCCCACACCTGGGCAGTTTGGCAGCGGAGGTCTCACTGCAAATCAGTCGATCGGCATTATCTTTATTATCTTTTCATCAGCTGCGTGCCGCTGTGTGGAAGATTCCTCCCTTGGCTATCACTCCACGCGAAGCCCACATGCCCAGCCACGGCATGCCCAAACAGCTTCTGTTCGGCCGAATAGAGGGGGCTAAACGGGCTTGGCACAGGCTAAAAAAGAGATAGACTGGTACACGAGTGGGTGGGTGACTGAGCGAGTGGGTGGTACGGGCTGTATGTTTTTGTTACTTTTTTCGCACCGTACGTAGCCAATCGTGATAATGGGATGTGCGCGGGTAGGACAACACATTAAATACAAAAAGTAGTTGTAAAAAATCAGTTTTCAATCTAGATTTAAAAGCACATAGCTCCGGTGGCTTCCTAATATCGGAAGGGAGAGCGTTCCAGACGGCCGCAGAAGCGCGTCTCAAAGTGCGATGCAGTGACCGTATTTGTTCGACGGCTATCCAAAAGCCGCTGCGAGGATGACCGGCGTTCGCGTGATGGTTTATGCTCCTTGACGAGATCAGCAAGTTATCGTGGTTCATTTGTGGCGAGCACTTTGTGTGTAATGAGTATTCGGCTGATGTGATGCCAAATGATCTAAAGTTGAGTGGATTTTCCGATGACCGGTACCAGCGGTGTCAGGATCGGCCTCTATGGAAGAGGCTCGTGAAGGACGCTGCTGGGCAGTTGGAGGCAGTCGCCTTCAAAGGACAACGAAAGGCAGAGGAGCGATCCTCACAATCATAAGCGGAGCGCCGGGCGGCTAAACGCAGCCAGGTGGCACAGTGGGGAGCACAGGTGATGCGTCTGTCAGTCATCTCAATCAAGTGGGTCTGTCCCGTGACCTCCCATCGAGCCTTCTACACTTCATGAGGCCTCAAAGTGCACCTAGCCTGGCACAAGCGCCGTGGTGACGTCACCGCCAATTAGGGGCGAGCGGCCTCTGCTGTGTTTGTGTCTAGAGGGGAGCGGCGGCGCAATGGTTAGCGCACCAATTCCCGCTCACGACCAATATCAGTGGCGAATATTTGGACCGGTCATGGGCCTCCCTTAGGTCAACTCAGCCTTAAATAAGTACCTGGTGCGGTGTGTAAACATCAGCAATGGTGCTCGCTAACAGCACTTGCCCCAAAGGTCTGTTGAAGGCTACACGAGAGATCTTTGTCTTTTTGTGTCGGTGTATGTTGTTGGCATGTGGGTGTATTGTGTGTCTGTGAAAGCCTCAACTGTACAGGTATGGTGGGAATCTTTGTTTGAATGTGTGTGTATTGTGTATACAGTGCGTATCTTGTGATACACACACACAGTGCATACATTGCGTGTGCGGGCTTTGTCAATGTGGGTGAGTGTTGGGGAGCGGTAGTGTCGTGGTTCGTGTGGTGCCACAGCGACGGGGCCGCTCTGCCGAGCCAGGGAGCCGCCCGGCTTCCCCCACCGCACTGCCCCCCATCACCCGCCCCACAAAAGCACACACCCGCCCGCCTCCCCCCCCCCCCCCCCATAGAGCTGGAAGGGAAGGTTACCTGATCGACCGGTTTTTATCCGAGAGACCCTTATCGGGATTAATTCTCACGGTTTCCGGCGATCAGGGAATTGGATGACCTCCCCCGTGCTACGTGGTACCGCGGCGCTGCTGCCGGCCTTAATATGGTGTGGTCGCGGCGTGGGGCATTCGGCCACCGCGGTTGAGGCGCATTTCCCCCCACACACACCCCCACGAGTCGACGGGGCAAGCAGGGGAGGCACGAGACAGCATGAATAGCGGGGTCACAGGGGCTGTTGCGCATAGTCATGGAGGGTTGGGATAATTGCGCTTGAGCGCGCAGGCCCCATTGTTGGGAAGGGTAAGGGAGTAATTAGGATGTACGCCGCCAACGTCGCGCACTGATTAGCATATCAACAGCGCCCGGGGAACCGCCGTGCGCGGGCTTGGGGTGCACGAGCCCATTGTTCAGCGCAGCATCCCCTTTGAGGTAGGGGAGGATAAATAGAGGAGCGGAGAGGGGAAATCGCCCCTTCTCTCCAGGCCAGCGGACCAGCAGGACTTCCAGCCAGCGACCCGGACGTCCGTGCGACGCATCGAGGTACGCTGTTAGCGCAGAGAGCAGCGAACCTCCGCGGGCACCAAACAGTGAGTGGGGAGGTGAAGTAGGGTATCGTAAGCCGATAAATAGGGAATAGGTACAGGTTTAGTGGAATAGGCCAGCCTCGTCGACTCACTGATTCCACATCAATTCGCAGGTAGCATATAATAAATCATTAATAGCGAAGCGTGGTCTCGCGTGATCTTGTCGTGCAGTGTGAGCGTGTGGGTGCGCTGTGTGCACAGTGGTTCGCCACGTGAGTGAGCGCTGCGCGGAGCTGAGCGCGCGGGTTGCGCGTGGGTATGCAGTGATTCTGTGGTGCTGCGGCTCGCCTCGGGGGAGCGCTGCGCAGAGCGGTGCGAGAGTGGGTGTCGCGTGTGTTCACTCCGTGTGTGATACAGGTGCGCGAGTATAACGTGAGTTGAGTTGGAGTGCGCGGAGCGGCGTGTGTGTGGGCGTGCGTGCGTAATCGGCGTCCCCCAGGTGCGCGCTCATAACGTGAGCGGCCAGCAGGCGGCGAGCGCTGCGCAGAGCGGCGCAAGAGTGGGTATCGCGTGTGGAGCTGTATGCGTGTGTGCGCGCACGTTCACTACGTGTATAATACGGATGCGCATTGGGAACGTGCCGCACAGGGCTATACTGCGAGCACGGCGTTTGATCGACGATGATGTGCGCACGTATGCTCGCAGCGTGGGAGCGCGGCGCGAGGCTGTAACCGTAGGGGCGTCGCGTTCGAATGCCGGCGAAACCGTAGCGGGTAATAGGGAGGTGGGGTAACGTAAACGAATAGGGGATGCAGGCGGGAGGGACCCCGGGGGCCGATGGCCCCCACAAATTGGTGTCAGAAGCGGTACGGACCCCCGCGTTACCTCACGCTAAAATAAGACTAATATTTACCGGCCGGGGGGCCCCTTCGTGGAAGGCATTCGCCCGCAATCTCTTAGGGGCCAAGGAAATTAATGGATGGACGGACGCGCAGGCAGTACGTCAACTTAATATGAATCTTGATGGGCGGGCAGCCGATTTTGTAGAAGCGTTACCCGCGAGCGCACAGACACAGCTAGAGGAGCTGATGCGCCGACTCGATCAGCGTTTTGGCACGCGTGACGAGGAGGAAGCAAAATCGGCCTTAGAGGCGCGCCGGCGCCAACCTGGCGAAGATCTACGTGATTACGCCGAGGATGTGCGTGAGTTAACAAAGATCGCACGCCCGGGGTACGCAACTGATGTTATTGAGGAACTGGCCGCCGAGAAAATCCAGCGGTACCTGTCTCGCACGGCGTGGTGGCAGCCAGACATGAGCTGCCCACGTCTTCCGTTTAACACCCTTGTCGAGCGCG